CTAGGTATTTCCTCTCCCCAATAGTTGTGACCTTACGTCTAAATTTTTCTAGTATGGATCTCATAACTTTTCTTAAAATCTTTGTTTCGGGACTCGTTCACCTAGGTTAAAACTAGAGTTTACTATGTCATTATGTTTTGCAAAGAACTCATCGAAGGATTCATCATCTTTCATCCTCAACATCTGTAGTTTAGAGTTTTTCACCGTCTTAGTTCCCTCATGTGATTTCTAAAATATCTTATACTTCTTTGATAGTCTCACACATGGACATTCGTTTAAACTGTTTCGAGAAAATTGCCATAAAGGTAACATGGACACCTCTACGATTCCAATTTCATTCAATTAAATCATCCTTAGACCAAGTAGAGATATCTGTAGGTGAAACAACACCAACAATAGTTGTAGATGTGATAGTTCAACCATTTTCTATACTAACCCACACTCATTCATCCATAAATTTTGAAAGGACTCTCATTCTAACCTCTAGTACGCATAATTGCTTCCATCAAAATATGGAAGAACAAATAGTGCTTGACTCATCTAAACAAAACTGGGTCAAGATTCAATATTAAGCTTTGAACCAATTGAAATAATGATATTTGACCCAACTAACACCTAGAAGAAGGTAAATAAGTGTAATATACAGAATTAAAATTAACAACCAATAATAAGAAACAATCCAAAAATTATTGTTTTTAGATAAATAAGTTTAATAAAATTAAACCTTAACAATCAGTCAATCATAAATATCAAAACAGTAAAGTAATCTACACTATGATTTGGTTACGAAGGAAAACATCTTGAAGAACTCTTCACAGTGATAAAAAATATCTGGGCAAACCTTGCCAAACAAATCCACTAGAAATAAGATTTAACTTACAGTTAGTCCAAATACAACTAAATTTTAGTAGACTTTGACCACCCAACATGTAAATCATAAAAAAAAACTCTTCGATTGCACCTCCTATAGTTTCTAGAATATCAGGACTTCTTTTCCATCTTTGTAAATCATCAAGAATGAACTTGTTCTTATCCAACTGGAACTCTACTCACCTTTCCATAACTGTAGAACTTTGAAGGTTATTTGGTAAAGAATTTTGTTAGTATCTGATCTTTCATTATTTTTATGTGTTTTGATCTTGTGGTTGAATCAAGAGAATTATAGAATTGTTGTTTGATCTTCTACATGATGCTCTCTTAAATGAAAAGAGACTCAACACCCGTTTACGATGAATATGGCTTGGGTATTTTATAATATGAAATGTTTGAGGTTGTTCGGGATTGTTAAAAGGTTAAAAATTGCGAAATAAGGTTTAACCACGTAACACAATCGTTTGATTGGATGTTGGGTGCTCAGCGAGCACTTAGACACTGTAAAAACCATTCGAGCATCCAGAGGGCGGCTAGCAAGCTCTCTTTGGCCAGTCAATATTTTTATCATATACTTTTCTCTCGATATCGAATTGAGACTATTCAAAGTGCGTTGAAAACATATCTTGAAGTGCTACAATTCTTCTAAAATATCAATTTTCCAATTCAAATGTTTTCAATGTGAAAAATGGGTCTCAACTTGTGGGTATAAATTTGGAGCATAACATGTGTCACTTCGACTATTTATTTGATTTTTCATTGCATCCCATTGATC